TCTGTATGTACAAATAAATAAATCTTTTAAAAAAAAAAAAAAAAAAAAGTATCATTTTAATAGTGTCTTAGGAACAACAGCTGCAAGAGAATTTTATACTCTCACTTACATACGCTTACCTACCCTACCTGTCTGTAGGATAGGTCTCTTTCTACTTTTTTAATCCTCATAGCCAGGAGTAAAATTACAAAGGATAACAGATTTCAAAAGTTTGGCTTTAAACTGTTTCAATTAACTCCATTTAAAATCTTATAAATGTCTGCCTATCAAGTTTTCAATTTACGGAGCTGCTTCATATATAAATTCCCTATAGATTCTAAATTATATGTTACATATTTTTAGATAATCTATATCAAATTAATTTCTTGCACTAAAGCCATGAAATTCATTTCTAGAACTGGGAGGGCATAAGAAGGGCATGGCTAGAGGTCTTTCTATTCAGCTTTGGCAGCTCCTTCTTATCTTCTTTCTCTCTGTACAAGAGCACTAAAACAAGGTAAAAGGGAATCTAGTCCCGGCCCTCCCTGGTGGCACAGTGGGATAAAGCACAGCACTAAGAAGCTAAAGCCACTTCAGCATGAGTTCGATCCCCACCAGCCCGGAGGTGACCACATGGCGCGGCAGATCTCTCCTGACCCGCCCGCTGCTCCCCTCAGCAGTGTACTTCGTCAGTCGGCCTGTTCTGCCCCCCACTGTCTCTGGTGAATCCGCTCACTGCCCCTGAACCTCTGGCCTGTACCCCAGTTCTGTATAAATAAATAAATAAGAAACTTATTTAAAAAAAAAAAAAAAGGGATCCAGTCCCAAGAAATAGATCACTGAATAGCCAACAACCAAAGTTCTTGCCGTATAATTTATCACTAATAGAGATAGAAGTGCCAGTGGCACCGGGCAGACAATACTGCAGTGCCTTCTTCGGGTACCCACTGATACTCAAATAATACAAACTAATATTTTTCACAGCAGGTAACACACCAAAATAACAGGCTTGGTAATGTTTAAAGTCTATTTTCCCCCTGACTACTTTTAACTGAGAGCCCGATACTTAAATATAACAATAATAAAGTCCATGCTTAAAAAAAAAGGAAAGAAAAGTATACTGAAGTCAACCCTGTTCAATTTAGGAGTCAATCACACAAAGAAAATGTATACTTTATGTCTGTGGAAAAGAAAGAACTATAAAAATGTGTAATTTCCTTTGGTTCCTTCTCATTTTCCTAAATGCCTACATAATGGAATTAGTACATTTGTACTAACACAAATCATTTTTGGCATATTTTCATTAATTCTTTCAATATTCCTACAGATTTCACATTACTTCATTTTATAGATGTTAAGGACAACAATAAAATTATTATCATAAATTCCACCTTAAAACTGTACTAATAGGAAGACCTTACAATAGAATTCAGGTCTCCTCTTCATACAATTCTTGTACCAAAAAGGTATTAATGAATCCGCATCAATTACTGCTCCTGCCTCTTCCTTTCATAATTTAAAAATATTCCTGTGGATGCTGACTTAAATACTTTTAAGAAAAGTTCCTTAAACTTTGGTGCTCGAAAAGAATAAAATATGCTCTTAAATTAAAATATGCATATACACACTGCCCACCAGTCTCTTACCATAATACCAATAAAAAGTTTAAAAATTGAAGTTAAAAATTTCTAGCACACAAGATTATGGTGCTGACATATGGGTAAATTGGGGGTGAGAAGCCCACAGGGAAGCCCACAATTGAGAGGAAAAATGTACAAAATGAAGAATGATGTAAAGAATAAATGTATTAAAAAAATTTTTTTTAATTTTAACACTTCATGTGAACTATCAAAATACCAGTTTACCTCTCTTTTAATAATGGGATCAGGATGGTCTAAACATTCAATTATTGTCATCTGGTGTTGAAGAGCTAGAGTAGGATCCTGTTGAATAACATAGGTAAGAGCCTTCAGACCTAGAAACAAAGATTACATTATACAAAGTGACATGAAACAAATACTCAGCAATTTCAAAAGCGTTCTTTGCAACTTCTGTTAGAAGAACCATTTATCTTACCTAAATATTTAAGATTTATTTTAGGTGACAGAACAAATTTTCCAATGCACTTGGCAGCCTTCTCAAGTAATTCAGATTTTGGGTAAATAGAATAGACTGTATGCACACATTCAAATAGAATAGCTAGAAAAAGAAAATATAAAATGTCAAGGTTCATGTTAAAAGTAAAATAAAACACTCTAAAATTCACAATAAACAAACTAATTGGAAAATTTTTCAAAGATGTGAACTTTACTGTTTTCAGGCTTACATAGTTTTTACAAAGCTAACATAGTACAACTTAAAGAGAATTTTATTTATTAATAGGTAAGAATGACATTCATTCATGCAACAAGTAGTTACTAAACACCCATTATGTACCAGACATTCTTCTAGTGCTATGGATACAGCAATGAAGAAAACAGACAAAATCCCTTGCCATCAGGAGGTCACATTCTAATCAACATGAAATATATTCACTGTTCTTCCTATCTACATAGACATTTCCAGTACTCCTTGAATGCTTTAAAAATTTTATTCTCAGGATGTTTCTGCCATTTACATGCAGAAACCATATAGTTTATTTCAATAATTTCAGGATGTTCTAACATTTGTTTCAAAATAAGGCCACTACTCAAAAATCTTCAAGTCACTTCTTTAAAAAAAATAACCTCAGTGAATACAGAACAATCTACTGAATATCCTTATATTCAGTGTGTAAACTTGGTTTTCTAATGTAGTCAAAGATCTGGTAACTACAAGAGAGTATTAAAATGGACACTAACATTTTTTCAAAATCTTTTAAAGAGCATGCATCATGAAGCTAGAGTTTTAACATGGTAAAAAATAATCACTAAGGCACCATAAAGGACATGCCCTACATGATCACACTCTCAGAACTGAGACACAGAAGCAAACTGTGTCTACTGCAAACTGAGGCATATCATGTTTTTTTAAAAAAACTGTTTTTTTTAATTGAGGGAAAAGTAGTATATAACACTGTATATGCTTCAGAGGCATAGGTTATTAAAACCTCTTCATATGTATGTTACCACACCAAACCCCATATATCAAGTTCTTGACAGAATCCCTCCTCTATTTTCAAAAGCTTAAAAATATAACATAACGACCAGGCACTTCTTTAAGTATAATATAGATTCTGATTATTTTAATGTTACATACTGCTAAATTATTTATCACCTGATGCCTATCACAGATGAATGTGGTAAACTTTATAAAACCCTTCTAAGAGTGGGGTGGAGGGGAGAAAGAGAGAGAAACAAAGAAACAGAGACAGATGAGAAAGAAATCAGAAAAAATATGAAATATAAATTTCTCCTTAAGAAGGGAAGTGACTTTAATTAAAGAATAAATTACAAAGTTAATTGAGCCTAAAAACATACTTTGTACATTCAGATACTTGTGCTGTAAAATGTCTTTACTGTGCTAAAAATTAAACCAAAAGAGCCTTGCCTTGGTCTACTGACTTATCAAACTAAGGCAGGAGTGGGTAAACTGCCACTAACTCTAGTGTTCAGCCTACTTTTATAAGCCTATAAACTAAGAATAGTTTTTACATTTTTAAAAGGTTGTAAAAAAAATTTTTTTTTAAATGTGATAGAATCTTACGTAGCCTGCAAAGTCTAAAATATTTACTATCTGGCCCCCTTTTCAGAAAAAGTTTGCCAAACCCTGAACAGACATAACAGTCCTAAGAAAGATGAAAAACGTTATTGCTTAATTTTCTGTCATAACTAACATATTTTCCTTTAGTTGCTATCCAATTACTTTACTCACAAAAGCTTCTCAAAACTCATCTAAAACGTAAACTTTTAAAATCAAATGTGAATAAGATTTCCAGAAAGGTGATATAGGTAAAACTAATAGTTTAAAATGTGTACTTACTAGTCAACTTTCTAGTCAAAATCTATAGGCATAAATGAACTGAAAAATAACTAAAATTAAAATTAATTCTGTTCTAACATTTGTGACAGGGTTTTATCATATTGCTTTGGGTTGGATTATGCTCAAATCCAATTTGAAGTTCTATTGATACCTTATCTTTCACAATAGATTTTCATTTTAAATAAGGAATATCTCCATCTAATGACATCACTTTGACAAAGAGAAATACTTGCCCAGTGGGTATGAAGCCTCTTATGAGTCTTGGGGGAGGGATTCCTGGTTCCTGCTGGATGTGGGTGGAAATAACTGCTGATACTTCCCTGCCCATGAAAGGGAGAGACACCTCATTATGGCTCTCAGGTGGCCTCCATTTACAGTGAGGTGGCCATGGTGTTGGTCAGACCCTGACTTTCCACAGTAGGCTTCTTCTAACATCATTCCTACAAAGAGAGGAGGGTACCTCTTTCTTCCCCATTCCTGGAAGATGAAATCCAGGTGTCCCACATCATCTCCTTTGACACTTCAGGGGAGAAGGCTTCCTATCTTGCCTTGCAGGGATGAAATCCCACCTTAGTGGGAGCACTGGGGTACCCTGTCACTTCTGGTGAGGATGAAATCTAACTGTTCCTTTACCTTTACAGTACTGAGTGCGTGGCTGGAATAGAGAAGTTTACTGACTAGAAGTTTTCTCCCTTGTTGGTATGCCCTTATCTTCTTGGTCCTCTGACTAGAGAGGAGGGTTTCTGGGTTATTTTTATTACCCTCTTGCCATTTCCAGGTTGTTGACTCTCCAATACCCACTTTGGGGCATATAAAGCAAAAAGAAAACTCAGGTTATTCATAATGAAATGTTCCTTCTATGCCAAGAAAAGACATCTTCTTTTTTACACCTTTTAGAGTCTGCTGTTTATTTTACATATGGTATACAGGATTTTTTTTGTGTGAAAAAAGATTTCTATCTAATTTGATGGTTTTGTCATCATGTGACAGATGGTTCTGTCACCTGTACTCCATTTTATATAAATTCCCCAATTCACTAAGTGGCTTGGTAAAAATGTTATTCTGGGAGTAAAAAGTTGAGGATAGGACTAAGCTATTAAGACTCTAAACAAAATCTAAGAAGTTACAAAAGATGGATACTTGACAGAAGTTGGAAAATATGGGGGAACCAAAGTAAAAAATGATCAATTAAACAGATAACAGGAAAAAAGAGCTATTACCTAATATTAGCTTTTTTCATAGTTTTGTAGCATTTTGCCCACATAAGTCAAGCATTTAAATGCAAATTCTGGGTATCCATTTGTTACACAGTAATACCCAAAGCATAAAGTATTTATTTGTAAAGCTGAAATGTGCAATCATTATATACGCATAATGTATGCATCATGTACTATATAATCTAAACCTTTACAGACAACATAACAAGAATCACAGGGAATGAAGTTCTGAGGATTAGAAGGTTACTGGGAAGCAAGTGTAATGATATTCCCAGGAAGATTCTGAAGAACCAAGTGATGGTTTAGGGTTTAGTAAGGAATTCTGGGGAAAGTTGCGGAAGAAATGAAATGAAATACTGTTAATTATGATGTCCACTCCCTGTCCCTTGGGCAGACCACACTCAAATATTACATAATCAAACTCAGCCCAGCCTAAAACTGACTAGGTAACTTTTCTTACTAGATAGCAAACACAGGCTCTAGTCTCTGAATCACAATTATGCGGCTTCCTCACAATTAAGTCACATTTTTAATGAACAGAGGTACAGAGGAAGTCAACTACGGAAGCAGCATTCCCCTTCCAGCTGCCAGGGACTCGTTCCCGGAGCACAGGCTTCGCCGCAAGAGCACCTTCCCTGACTGCTGCTTAGCAGGACTTTTCCTCCCGGTATTTCTTTCCTTTTTCTCATTTGTCATTTTACTCCTTCTCGTTCTTTTAGACACTGGATCCCCATATCTTTCTAAATCTCGAGTTCTCTATGTCCTGCTTCTGCTTCAGAATACCTCATAATTATTTTTATAAGAGTTCATACCTTCTAGGCAAGCATTTTGGTTCTGCCTATTGTACAGAGAATTCCTGTCTGTGTTCTTTCTTAAAATATTCCATCTTTTTTCATTCTTTACTAACGTCTCTCCTCTCTTAGCACTTGGGTGTTCCTTTATATCTCTCCTAATCCTAACAAGAGCAATTTCACTAATAATTTTTCCCCAAGGAAAACAACTAAGTTTTCTAAAAGACGTAGTGCTGTGTCTACCCAGTCTTTACTTTCCTTCTTTTTAGCACAGCTCAGATTTGGTTCAAGTAACCACTGCTGCTCACACAGCCATGTGCTCCCTAAGATGTTAACTCCTTTTGGGAGTCAACTCCAGGGAATGAGCTCTAATTAGTGTGAGCTAGCTATGATCATCTCATCTCTTTACCCAATTGTAGACTTAGAGAAGGAATTTGTTTTGGTGCATGGATATGACAGAAGGTCTACCTGGCATCCTCAAGGAAAGAATTCCTCTGATCTTAAGAAGACCCCAGGTAAAAGTGAATCCTTTCTTCTAAATGCCATCATCATGCCTAGAAGAGAAGCCTGGCCCTGTGGTAGCCATCTTGTCTCCAACCTAACGTTAAAGTCAGTCCAAGGAAGAAATGAAGGGATCAGCCCCGACCATGGGATTGCCATTCTTCCTGTTACAGGAAATAATAAATGTCCTTATTTAAGAGGGAAACTTTTTTAAAATAAATCAGTATCTTGCCCCAAAATCTTCCACATTCCACACCTTTAGATTTATACAGTATAAAATCCAAACTCAAGTGGCTATACAAGAGGATCTCAGCAACATGGCCTTTCTGCTCTCGCACTATACACTGTGCAGTCAGGCTTGTGAGTCAGTGTTCTCTAAAATATGTTAAACACTCCACTTCTGCTCCTTCCCTCATGCTCCCTTAGCCAGAATTCTCTTTAACTTCCCTTCTTTCTAGCTATCTAAATCCTGCACTTTCAGGGTCCCACTGTATCATCAATCTTATGTGTACCCTACCACCTCTGAAATCCAGTAATATTTATCCCCTTTTCATTCTGCCCTATTATATGAGTTAATAAAAAGTTCTTGTCCATTACATTGTAAATTCCTTGAAGACAAAGATTAGCTTTATAATTCTTCATATCCTTTACTTACTCTATGCAATGCCTGGTATACAGCAGATTCTCAATAAATGTCTTTGATGTAATTTATTTCTTGATTTGACACTAAGATAAGTTATAATAATAGAACTCTCATTAAGAATTTCGCTTTGAAAGTATTAGGAATGAACGTTAAATAACTTTCTCTTCTTTAGTTCCATTAAAACATATTACTTATCAATGAATTCAGTGCCAGGTAGTGGTGTTTGCTAGTCAATAAGACAAACACAGTCCCTGCCCTTATGAAGTTTGAAATTTAAAACTGACATTCTCAACATTTATACTGGGATTACTAGAGAACAACATTGACATAATCAATGTAAACCGTATCAATACAAATATGATGGGAAAGCATAACAATATAAAGATGAGTAAAGGAAATAAATGAAACAACAGAAACTATAAGGCTTCTGTGGCAAGGTAAAACACTGGACTAACAGTCTACAAACTGTTGGTGTTGGTTCCAGCCCTTTTATTAAAAAGAAGGGTATCCCAGTAGAGAACATTAAAAAATATTTTCTTAGGTATATAATTTTCTCCAAGTCAAGTAACAGTGGTTATCTCTAGTATATGGAACTAGGCGGTGGGTGGTAAGAGTGGAAGTGACACATACTATTCACTGAATACCCTTTTGTACCTTTTGAATTTTGAACCATGTGCATATCTTACCTATTCAAAAAAAAAAAATCAAAGCCAAAAAGTCAATCAACCCAAAGGAAAAGTTCTGTAAGTTAAAAAAGGCAGATTTTTAACAGAATTCCTTGAAAACCTTTCAAACCCTTACCCTTGACGGTAATCATATTTCAAACTAAATTTTTTAACTTTTTAGTTACCTGGAAAAATTCTGACACTTCTCTGGTTTTCTGACAGCTTCTAGCCAAACCACTTGTCTCAATAAAGGTGATTTCTGCCTCTCCCTTTTTTCAATCTCATTACATAGTAGGACCCTTGATAGTATCAACTGTTCACTATCCTACATATGCATTAAGGGCAGGTCCTGTATCTACCTTATTTTTCCTTAAATCTCCTACATTTAGCATGGAGGAAACCATTAAGTCAATCACCTTTTTCCTCAAGCTTGTGTTTTGTAGGTATTCGACAAATACTGGTCAAACAAATTAACCAACCACTCAGATTGCCTTTATTACCATATACACATGTGAAACATAAATCTATGTCACAGAATCTTACTAGATTAAGAAATTACTTTTCATTTGAGTTTTCTCTTCTACCAAAGCATGCAGAATTCAAACTGTTTTAGTTTTCTTAAATACCTCCAAATATCTCAATTTCTCCACTAAGCTTTCTCAAAGTGACCAAGAAAAGAACGAAGGGCCCTCCCTTGTGGTACAGCACTAAGAAGCTAACGCCACTTCAGCATGAGTACAATCCCCACCCCGGAGATGACCCACATGATGCAGCAGACCACTCCTGGCCCACCTGCTGCTCCCCTCAGCAGTGTACTTTGTCGATCTGCCTGTTCTGCTCCCCACTCTATCTCTGGTGAATCCTCTCACCACCCCTTTGCCTCTGGCCTATACCCCAGTTCTGTATGCATAAGTAAATAAATCTTTAAAAAAAAAAAAAGAACTAAGAAAAATTTTTCCCTACTTTGGCTATTAAAACTGGAAATTTTTTGGTTATTTTTTTCAGTTCTCTATTTCATCCCCCAATTTTTTATTTCCTATCATTACTTTTAAAAATTATATGTAACATAGTATTGTCCATTCACAAAATAGTAAGTTATTACTTATTACTCTACAGCTACAAATCCTTATATGTTTCTACAAATTCTTTGGTTGTATTCTTAAAAATCACTTTTCTAAAAACTCCCATGTGCTTCCCCTCATCTAAAATCCCATAGTACCAAGTATCTCTCCTTTGTAACATTTATAGCACCTGCCCCTTTTCATTTATCTAGTCCATGAGCTCAATGATAATACTATTTTTCACAGATATAGCCCAAACATCTTACACAGGGCCTGACAACAGAAATAATAAATATTTGACAACTAGTTGAATCATTGATTTACTTATACTGCATTCAATTATAAACTTTTATAAAATATGGAACAGATCTACTAAGTTATCTTCACAGGCAATTAGATGCTTAATCCGTTCATATAATTTCTCTTAAAAAAAGTCTTAAGAAAAAAATGTAATGAATTCTCAGGTCAGCATTTAAAATGAAGTTGTAACTGAAAATTAGTTGTTATTTAGAGCTTACATGGAAAAATAGTAACTCAAAAAAGAAAAACAGTAATTCAAAGAACCACCTTAAAAAATGAACATGTAACATTCTTAGAGTTTATAGTAATCTGACACAAATTTAGTAATAATACTGAAAAACACTATTGGTCATTAGCATAGCATTTACATGTTACCTACCATATGTGACATTGTGATTTAATTCGGCTCTTCGTAAGGATTCATCAAGAACATCATACATTAATTCACTTGTCCTGTTTAAAAGATATTTTATTTGCAGTAGAATTATAGTATTATAACTCAATAAAACATTGCTTTTTCAAACTTCTCTTTAAAACTGAGGATCTATAGAAAAGAAGTGAAAGAAATTCATTTTATGAAGTATTTCACTTCTTAAAGATTCCATCTGTTTGTTATCAAAATTGACTACTTAATAAACAGATATACTGATATATAAGTTGATTAATTCTTTCCTCAATCTGTGTCTAGTTTACAGATCTGATTTAGGTTTGGTTGGTTTGGTTTAGATGAATACTAGCCTATCTTTTATAACTTTCTTCATAGTAAAATATTTCTGCTTTAAGTTACAACAGTAATACCTTATATATCCAGATTACTTCTATCTATATTTTAAACAATTTCAAAATAAAAAATACAAATACTTATCTTTAAGTAGCACTAAGTTCCTCACAAAGAAAAATTTAACTTTCATTTATCTTAAATATAGAAAAACCATATTTTGTAGAATCAAGAGACCTATACTGTCCTAAATTTTTTTTATTGTAGAGACACTGGTTTACAACATTACACAGGACTTAAGAGATACATGATCACACCCTTTCAGTGTATGTTACACCACACCACACCACACCCACCATCACCATTCCTGTTATGGTCAATGCTTACGGGAACAGTAATTATGTTGAAGCCAATGCTCTAGGAAAATACAGTGCTTCAGAGAACCCTACGCCTAAGAAATAAAAAAGTACTCCCAATAGGCCAGTGAGAAAACCATAGCTTCTGAGCTGATATTTCTCTGTATTTTACAAATTTTAAAAGTACTAACAGGAGCAAAAAATTACCACTAACAGAAAATACACATAATAGTCTCACTGAAAAACTATACCATATAACAAACAAAAGACCAAAATAATCTGGGGTTGTACAAATTTGATATGATATACATCTCCTTAAGAAAATGTTTTTTTCTAAAAAAAAAAAAAATGTACTTCAATTTGAATGCATATACTTTTAGTCTGTCTTTACTTAAGTAAATATCTAGTGAGAAGCCAAAACCATACTGGCTCATTTTATTGCATAAGCATTTCTTCTACTGACAATACCATATAATACACATTACAAATCTTCCCACCACCCCCCACCACAAAAAAGTTCAGTGAAACAATTATAGTCTAGCTACTCAATTTCAAAGCCAAAGCTAATACCTGGTGGGAAAAGTCATAACTAACCAATGAAATATGGAAACATTTGCAGGCATGGTCAAGCTAAATGTTAGAAACCTAAAAAGTAGAATGCTATAAAACAAAAGAAAATAAATATAAATCACTAAAAATAAATGACTTTTCCAGTAACTTAATTCTTTCAACTAAGAAGTTTAGAATCCTGTTATAAAATGGCTTAGTATTTTTACTTTGCCATCTTGAATTACATATAAAATTTATATTAACATAGTCTCATTAAAGTTATAAAGGAGAAACATTTTAATGTTTCACAACTATAAGATTTCTACTCTTTATTGAAGAAATTGAGCCAACCTATTATTGAAGAAATTGAGCCAACCTATTAATCAGCTGAGCTCCATAAAGGTAAGCACTATCTTAGTCATGTTTGTCTATAGTCTCTAAATCTATCCATGAATGAAAGGAGAACAAGGAGCCAGTGAATTTAGTAAATTGACTAAATGCCTCCAAAGTTAATTTCCTGACAATATAATGGCAATAATATATTTTAGACCAAAGAAGTCTAAATAAATTACTATGAAATTTGTGATTTTAAACCAAAAAATTAATTTAACTTAAATTCCACAATAGGATATGCTGAGTTGTGTAAAATAAAACTAAGGCTAGCACTTTGTGTGTGTGTGTGTGTGTGTGTGTGTCTGTAAGAAAGAGAGAGTGTGTGTGTGTATGTGTTTCAAGACCTTCAGATTTATAACCCAAAGTTTAATCAGAGCCAAAGCAGTGTTGATCAGGAGCTCATGAGCAAATGGATGCTGACAAGATGATGATGAGGCATTTCTAGGAGCAAAAGTCTATGGACAGTTGCTTTGGAAAACCAAGTTAAAGAAGTAGAGTATAAATGTACACTACTGTCTAAAAGAGAACAGCTAATAAAATCATACACTGATTATCAAATATCTTCTCAGATAGAAATACTTCAGGGATTTAAACCATGGTCTCTGCTCTCAAGGAACTAAAGTCTAACTAGACTTGTTCTCAAAGAGTTCAGAAAAAGTGACTGTGTATGTATACATGCACGAGAAAATAAAGCAAATGCTATTTATTTATTTAAGGGCATAAGGGAGTTCCTTATACAGTTGGAGCTTTTTTATAAGTTTGAAACACTATGGCAAAATACAAAGCTATTAATATATATGTAGCTGGAAAACACTCATAAAAAATTTCCTACAAATTACTGGCGAAAAGAGGAATTCAGGGTAATTGAATTAAGAAGGTGAAATGCTCACATCAATTATAGCAAGGGTCAGAAACAACAGCCCACAGGCCTAATTATCCCAATGTCCATTTTTGTATAGCTATAGGTTAAGAATGCTAATTTTTTTTAATGATTGAAGAAGAAAATTAGTTTCAGTATCTATAAAAGTTGTTTTGTGTCACTAAAAAGCTGTTTTCAGTCATTTATAAACTGTGACTACTTTTGAGCTACACAGCAGTGTTGTATAACTACAGGAAACAACAACATAAAGTATTTTTTACCTCATCATTTACAGAGAAGTTTCTCAACTTTTAACCTAAATTAAGAAAGCTTAACAGAAGCTACGGAGCTTCAAAGGTTATCTTTCCCTATGAGCAGGATTTAGATAAGCAGTGAGACAGGACTATCCCAGCAACCAGAATTTCCATACTTCTTACAAAGGTTCCTTTATCACTAATAAGTTAGTTAAGCATTGGGAATAACCTAGCTTATCATAAAACCTCTAGGTGACTAAAATGTAAGGTTATCAAATTTACTCAGACTAATTTACCTTTGATCATCTTTTCCTAGAAGTCCTAGTATTCTCAAGAGCTGAATTTGTAACCATGGTGCTGGCACACTGTGGTAATTGAAATCTACTGGGAGCTTGCCTCCAACTACTTGCTTCAAAATTGTTACAAAACTCCCAGTCAAGTCTTTATATCCAGATGAGTTCTCCTACATCCAGAAAACAAAATAAAACAAAAAACTTTACTAATAATAAATGTCTTAATAGATATAAAATAGACCTGGTTAAAATGCCTTATAGACTTTAACGCAATACAAGCTACTTAGATGTTTCATGTTCACATTTAATGAAACCGGGCTTTGTGTAATTTCTTCCATGATGAAACCCTCTGTCTATCCCATCTGAAGTTGAATTATCCCCTGAAAAGTGTCTACCACTTTGTCCCTATAAGCAGTTTAATCACATTTCAAATGTTCTTATAATCTCATCTAATAGCCAATATAGTTATTCATCTTACTGTGCTTCACTACATTGAGTTTCACAGATTTTCTTTTATTTTTTTTTAAATAAAGTAGCATTGGTTAATAACGTCACTTAGATTTCAGGTACACAAGTTTGTTTTACTTTTTTAAACAAAGTGAAGGTTTGTGGCAACTATGGATTGAATATGTCTATCAGAACCATTTTTCCATGTGATCACTTCAAGTCTGTGTCACATTTAATGTACATTATTTTTTCAAACAATGTTGTGGAACTCTTAATATATTACAGTATAATGGAAACAACTATGCACTGGGCAACCAAAATACTGTACTTGCTTTATTGCAATTTTTGCTTGATTGTGGTGGCTTGCAAGTGAAATCACAGTATATCTCTGAGGTATCCCTATACAGCAATTAAGGGGGAAAATAAAAAGAACTGCATTATTTAAAGAGGGGAGCACAATCTTTTTGATGAAAATAAAGAGCTGTTTGATATCTGAATTTTATATGTATTTCTAATGTAAATGTGCTTGAGGTGGAAGAGCATAACCAAGACTACTTACACATTTAAATTCCCCAAAATCAGTGAATCTGAATGAATTGACAAATGAGAAATAAAACACAAATTTCCCAAAATGAACACTGAATTCTTCATTGTAATTTTCATTATGTATCAAGGACAAATTATTGGAAGAGAGTATTTTTTTCAAAGCTCAGTAAATGTTAGAGGAAAAATCAGACATTATTAAATGTGCATTTATAGCATATTATTTTGGAAAATAATCTATGAAAGTGAAGACAATCTTCAGTTCTCTAAATTTAAATTGAATTCAACAGCATATTCTATTTCACTATGAGGTACTCATCAACTCTCTCACAAATACATACTTTCAGATACAAAGGATTTCAAGCGACAATAACCTGGGACTGAATTAATACGAACTTGTCATCACCATTCAGAAAAATTTTACTATATCATTCAGTCCTTCCTAGTCTGAAAGAGCAGTTATACCTCGCACAATCCCATCTAGCTCTCATCATTTCTATAAGCTATTATGCACCTCATGTTTATAAGAGTGACTACTTCAGAAAGCACAAATCTACAGTGAAATCACTTCAATAGCTACTTCAAACAAGAAAAAAATCTAAACATTAAAAAAAAGCTAATTCTGTAACATGCCTACACTGTTTGCCATCAGTAACTTTCAAAAGCTACTACAGAAAATAAAAATAATAAAACACATATTGGTAATTGTGCATTTTTACTGAATAATTTGAGTTTTCCTTTATACTTTTAACAGTACTAACTCTGTACCTGCTGAAATCTCTAACTTACCTTAATTATCCGAAGGTATATGTGCAAGGAAGCAGCCATGACCCCAACATCTCTGTCACAAAGCGCTTTCCGAAACTTAATGTGGATATGCTGTACTTGATTAGGAGCGATAAGAAGGAATTTATATAATGCCAGGACAGCTTTTCTTCGTATAATCTCCCTAAAGATAAAAAATGAAATCTAAGCAAGCTGCCTGAATTATCAAGGATTTAGTTTGAAGAATATGGATCAAATGATTTAAAAATATTAGCAATGTTTTGGGTGGTGAACATAATAATATAATACATACTGACAGTGATATAAGGTTGCACACCTGAAACCTACATAATGTTATAAACCAATGTTACTTCAATAAAAAAAATACATGTGGATCAGTTATAATCCTAATCTAAAATGAGAGAATTATACATATCTATTATCAATTTCTTTAATTTAATCCACCAAACATAAAAAGTGATTATTTCTAGAGGTAAGGCCTCAAGAGATTTTAACTGATCATGTTATATATTTCTCTAGTTACCAATTTTTTGGTAGCAAGCACGTATTACATTTGAAATGTTAAAAAAGTTACTTCTCTAATTCCATTTCTGAAAGCCCAATGTCTTGAAATTATGAAAAGAACCAACAGTAAATTTACATCAGGTTTATAGTTGCTAGTTGATGTTCATTTTTACTTTATTACTTCTTTCCCCCTGATCCCTTACACTCCTGTCAAGAGTGAAACCATCCAGTATTTTTCTTTTCCTTTCTGACTTATTTCACTAAGCATGATCCCTTCCAGCTCCATCCATGTTACTGCAAATGACACTTGGGTGAAGTGGTGGTGTGAAGTCCATGAGGATTACAACTGAGATGAAAAAATGTACAAAACAAAGAAAGATGTAAAGTATATATATACAAAATTAAAAAATAAATAAAAGCCATCTGGCCAAAACAAATTTACATGAGGTATGGTATATTACCATTAAGCAACCTCTTTATTAATATTAAAAGTCTCGGCCCTCCCTGGTGGCGCAGTGGGTTAAAACACAACACTAAGAAGCTAAAGCCACTTCCGCCATGAGTTCGATTCCTGCCTGCCCCAGAGGAGACCACATGGCGTGGCAGACCTCTCCTGACCCACCCGCTGCTCCCCTCAGCAGTGTACTTCATGATCTGCCTGTTCTGCTTCCCACTCTGTCTCTGGTGAAGCCTCTCGCCGGCCCTGCACCTCTGGCCTGTACCCCAGTTCTGTATGAATAAATAAATAAATCTTTAAAAAAAAAAAAAGTCTCTCAAATATTTTGGCAGATTCACATAGAATTAAAAGGGGTTACTCCTTTCAGTGCCCAGCTCATATACTTCAAAAACCTCATTACAACAAAGGGGGAAAGTATACAAAAATTCTGCTATTCATTTGTAACAGATAATGAAAATCTACCACACAAGAAGCAAAAATAAGGCACTACCTTTTCCAAGGAAGTATATTTCTTGCTCTTCTATCTCATGCTTATTTTCCACATATCTCATATTTACAGACTAAGCTAGCAGTGCTCACATGTGTCACCAAACTGAAGTATTACTTCTAAGGGTTCTTTAATAATGTAGTTTTCTGTTTTCTAAAACCAGATTCTTCAATGCAATCCTCTATGTTCTACTGAGGAACAGCAGTTACAAGATTCATAATGAATGATAACCTAGTTTCTGCTAAATTCCACTTACAAACAATTCATTCTTTCTAAGCAAACTATCTCATGATGGAAATTCTTTTCACATAGAAAGAAGATTAACAATGGACTTTCCATTAGTATTAATACTTTAATGACTGTAAACTACATCTCAGAGTGGAGTTACTGTGTATTAAACTATGTATTAGTTCTTGGAGACAGGAGATAAGGAAGATGAATACAAACTCTGAATAGACTCAGGAATTTCTTGGCCTGGCCCTAAATGGTAGTATTATTGCAAGACATCAAGACACCTAGTTTTGGGTTCTAGGTCTTGCATACTGAAATATAACAGGGACTCAAAAGTCAGGTCTAAGCCCTATTTCATATAATCTATGTGACATCTATTAGCCTACCTGTAGCTCTGTCCCATATTCTTTCTTCTTTACTCCACAGCATGGAGTTAGGTATGGACATAACAGCAGAAACAGAGTTTCAAAAAGCCTAAACTCTAGCTAGTAGAAGACAGGAGAAGCCAGGATTTGAAATTAGAGTAGATGGGAAGCAGTAAGGAAAAATTCAATTCTCAAAAGAACTTCATGCAATAGCAGTGGTATGAAAAAATTATATAAAAATATGCTGTGCTATGAACAGATCCACCTATAATTATCAAAAACTACATTTTATTTCCAGTGATTGTCTATACCCAGAAAATTTGTTCTAAAAACAGATTTGACATAACCAAAACATTATTAAGTCTGAAAAACCTATTAAACTACTTTATAATGTTTAGTAAGTGTTATTTTAGCTAATAGATTCATGGCCCAAGATTTTTTGACAAACACAGATCAAAAACAATATTTTACAAGCTTAGAACATTTTACTGGCTTTAAGAAGCATATGAAATATATATTGTAGAAGTGATCAAAAAAAATTCCTCAAATCTATAATAGATAAAATAGTGTGATCACAATGAAAAATGTACAGTGTTTCCTAAGCTTTAAAAGATTATGAAGTTAAAAGGTTTGATCAAAAACAAAAGATTTTCAAGTGTAGTAAAAAGTTAAGTCAAGCTAATAAGGAGAGAGTAAAGACCTCTTAAACTACAATTTTTTTCTTGATATATTCTGCTATAAAAAAGAATTTGGGGCCCTCCCTGATGTTGCAACAGCATATTAAAGCACATCACTAAGAAGCTAAAGCTTCTTCAGCATGAGTTCAACCCCCGCCCTGAAGGTGACCCACATGATACAGCAGACCTTTCCTGACCAGCTCCCCTCAGCAATGTACTTCCTTGATCTGCCTGTTCTGCTCCCCACTCTGTCTCTGGTGAAGCTTCTCACCGCCCCTGCACCTCTGGCCTGTACCCCAGTTCTGTATGCATAAATAAATCTTTAAAAAAAAACAGAATTTGAATGTTACAATTTTGATATGAGAGCATCCCCCATATACCAAAGTTTTGTATTCATACAATTTCAGTCATTTCCATATATGTTCCATTATTTTACGTTAGCCTCAAAAAAACCTGTGAGAACTAAGGCGCTTCAACCATTCCAATGTAGCTAAGGAAAAACACTACCACTGTTTTTTTTTTTTTT